ATTGGTTTGAGCCAGGTCTCATAAAAATATATATATAAAAAAAGTGTGTGTGTGATAATATTTTAAAATATATAAATAAAAGGAACATGAGAAACTAGAAACAACATAGAAATTGGGAAGTCATGAATGACCACCCTCCCCTCTCACATACATTCAGTCTTTTTCCAAAAGTTATCTTTGATTATTTAAAGTTATCTATGAAATAGATATCCTTCTTAAAAGAACATTATCTAATAACATAAAAGAAGCACAAATAAAAGTCTAAATCACAGAGCCATACATGGTTGCAGAAAAGTCATTAGAGTTTTGAAGAAGGTGGTCATCTTTTAAGGAAGATGCTAAGTATTTGTGGAGAAAAGGAAATTTGTAACTTTTATTGTGTCCTTGCTCTTATTATAGCCTATGGGCAAAGGTTCATCTCCAGGAGAAGAAAAGAGAATTTACCAAAGTTGCCCAAGTGTGGCTGGGATGTACTAAGCCACTGTGGATGATGTACCAAATCAGGTTGCCAATTCTAGGTTCTCTTAACTTTTGACCAACAAAACTCTCAGAGATTTGTTCTTCTTTTTTTTTTTTTTTTTTTTTTTTTTTTTTTTTGGTGGTAGTGGGGATGAACCCAGGGCCACACACATTGTAGGTATAACATTCTATCCCTGAGCCGTGTTCTAGCCCGTCAGAGGCTTATTTTTAACTGCTTGGAAGAACACTGTCTGATATAAAGCTTGGACATCTTAAAATACTCAAATGAAAGTACAACTCTTAGCTTAACAGAAGTTAACAATACATTTCTGGGTGAGAATTAGTATCTTTAGGTCAGCTTGGAGATCATACCAAAGTTAAAATGTAGATGAGCCGTTTGACTTTAGCAATGCTTCATTTTCAGGCCCATTTGAATTCTTTCTCCTCGACTTCTTTCGCAAGCTATTTGTTTTCCTTTTTTGGGGGCTTCATGTACCGAAATTTATTCCTATTATTATCATTATTATTATTTGTATGGTGCTGGGATCAAATTCAGGGCCTTAAGCAAGATAGGCAAGTACTCTACATCCCAGCTCACCACACAAAAACTATAATCTGAAAAAAAAAAGGTTAGGATGGAAGAAAAGAAAGACTGATTTATTTATTTACCAACAACCTGAATTCAGAGGCCTGGTGACAAAAAGCCTTAATCCGTCCTTCTATCTAATTCTGGATTAAAGCGTAGAAAGGTATTGATCGCAGCTCCCTCCCACTCCAAGCTCACAGTTTAATCTCTAAATCCAGGTGAGAAATACTTCATTGACCAAGGCAACTATGAATTAAAGTCTGTGGTTATCAAAACCACATCCACTCAATTTGGCAAAAAACGCTTCAATTTGGACATTTAACACTTAAAAAGTAAGTGTGGTGTTTTTCCACTGTTCTCATCAATTCCCTAAGGAAATTCCAAGGGGAAGAGACCAGGGATAAAGAGCTTTTTGTATTTCTCATGCATTTAACTGCAAAAGAAATTTTTGTTCCATTAGGTTTGTAATGCGAGATCTTTCAGAGTAAATTTACAGGACAGCCTCGGAGTTTATTAATTCAACACAAATAACTTAGTCTTCACATGTCTAAAAACAAATTGCTGACTTCTCATAAGTTCCAACAGTTACTTCTACACTGCTTGGAAAATTGTTAAATGTAAAATTATTCCAGGATTACAAAGCCTATTTAATTAGCATGACATATATAGATGGCACAGTTATCTTCGAGGCCAATCTGTCCTCAGTTCTATTCAGATTTAGTTCAACAATCTAATCTACAAGACACAGGTAGCTAATCACAATTTGAAATATCCCCTAGAGGCTATCTAGCCATTTGCTACCATAGAATGAATCTCCTAACAGTCTGGAGGAATGACAAATACCTTGTGATAGCATCTAACTGCTTAGCAAAGTATCTCCCAGGATTGCTTATCAATGCCTTTCCTGTTACCCTTTTCATATTCCTCCAATGGGAAAAGTTTGCCTCAGTTTGCTGATAGGCTCCGCATAGCAATAAACACTTTCCCACTCTAAAAAGCAGATCCATTGAAAATTTACTGCCTTGCTGTAGGAGGTAAACCCCTATCTGGTTCAACTCTATTCTACTCCTTTCCAAATTCTATCTCCACATTTTTGGAATGACAGACAAGTGAATCAAGCCACCATGCTGCAGAACAGCCATGCTCACAGATTAACAAGGGAATGTTTAGAGTGGAAACTGCATCCCAAAGAAAGAGATATCCAAATTTGGAAGATGATTTAATTTCATTATTTCATGAGATCGTGAATTCTCTAATCAAGGATCTGCCTTTTTAAGTCAGCAGATTGAAAACAGCATTGACAGAATAGATTGAGTAGAGGGAAAGAGGACAAGTTGGTATCTGGAGCAGTTAAATTTTCCACAGGGTAACAAACTAAATTAACTCTACCCAGAGAAATTAAATGATCCTTCACTAACTTGTCCCTGGGGATAAAAAAAAAAAAATCACAAGTTTCCCAATACCAGTGGAACGATTTGTATTTTGTTGGGAACACCAGTGGGGCACATTGTAAGTGATAGTGTAATTTGTTCAGGATGCATCAATCAGACACAAGCTATCCTGGCACTATTGAAACATCATCTGTCACCTATGGGCTCTTGATCCTCTCCATGGATGCTCTCCTAGCCCAGCTAAAACTGAAAGAACATCATCTGTCAAATACCAAAACACAAATATGTATAGAAGATTAAAATATTCTCACTGGGAGCTGTCTAGATTCCAATGGGAAACAGTTACAAGCCAGCGGATAGGAGAAAAGCATGTATGAAGGCAGTAAATTGAAGAAAACCATTAAAAAGGCTAAACCTGTCTGCTAGTGATTGAGAGCCTGGAAAGCTCAAATATCTAAAGATTTGAAATATTAAGAAGTTGGGATGGGGGTATTTCTCAGTTGGTAGAGTTCTTGCCTCAGATGTGCTAAGGTCCTGGGTTCAATCCTCAGCACCACACACACACACACAAAGAAATATTAAAAAGTCACATAAAAACAATGACTATAAATGTTGGGCACAAGTTCTCAAACTTTAAGAACTATTATTTTGGGCCATTAAGTACACCTCTGAAACTTTCCTTTTTAAAGAGACACCCTCCTATAGTCTACCCCCACCTCACTACCACCTCCAGCCCCATGCTGGGGATCAAACCAGAGCCTCCCATATGCTAGGCAAGTGCTCTGCCCTGAGCTGCATCTTGAGCTCATCTGACACTCTAGTGCATACTAGCAAGAATAGCCACAATACAGTCTTTTTACTCTTCTTCTTTCTTCTTTGTTTGGTGCTAGAAATTGAACCTAGGTCCTCCAGCAAAAATGTTTTCACAGTAAACCTGTCAGTTTTATTATTGCCCCCATTTTACAGGCAACAAAACTGAGCATTCAAAGTGCTTACATAATTTGCCTAAATTTACATGGCTTTGGAGGTTTCAAAGTTATTTAAGCTAAGTGGCAGAGAAGAGGACCAATTAGAGGTTATAAAGAAAAAAAAAAAAAGCTGTCCTGGCCCTAGAAAGGCCAGCTTTAGACTCATGATACTAGATGCCACTGCTTTTAAGCTTTTAGCCTATAATCAACCCATATTGAAACCAGATTTACCAGCCCTTCAGAGGAGAGCTTTGTGATTTTCTAAAGCAGACATGTTTGGTATTTTAGAAGGTCAACCCCCCTATGGTGCAGTGTTTTTAATAAAATCAGTTCAACAGAAATTAGAGACACCAGTCAATTTCTAGGAAGCCTCTGAGCCATTCAGAGTTAAGTCTGTGGAGTGGGGGGCAGTGCGAGGAATAGCATAAGACATTAACCATGCACAGGTCAAGTTTTCCAAAATGGGGCAGAATGTTAGAGGTACAGATGCAGAAACATCATGGCAGTTTTATCCCATTTGTCTTTGGTTTGGGTGAATTTCCACTTAAAAAGGAAAATTAATTTTGAGGGGAAGTTCTATGTCAGTATTAAATAAGGGCTGTTTTTGGTTAGGAAGCCTTGTATTGACACCTCTAAGTGCCAGCATACATCTTTTAGAGGGGGTAAAAAAAGACCTCAATTGTCACCTTTCTTAAATCAATCACGTAGGGAATCCCTATCTCCAGCTTGTAAAAACTTTACTCTCATAGGAGAGAAAATGTCAAGTCTTTATATAGTTCTTAATAAAATTCAGGCTGCAGCATTTTTATTGAAAGCCCAAGTTATGTGCAGATCTGCTAGTGGCAAAGACAAACATAAATAGTCAATATCAAAAGGGTGAGGATTTTGGAAGAGACAGGCCTGGTCAATTGAGGCTAGAACTTGAGTCCCAGAAAAAAGTCTTGAGAGGCCAGGGGCCAAAGGACAGCCTCCTGAGTGCACAACAGAACAAGAGGCATTGGGAATCTCTTCACATTTATCTTCCATTAAGGGACTCAAGCCTTTCCAGTAGGATGAGGTTTACAGATTTGAAAACATATAACTTTAAGTCCTTTATTTCCCAATAACTTGCAGAGTTCCTAGTTAACTGATACTTGGAAGAAATCAGGTGAAACAAGAGGAAGAAAATTTGAAAAATTGACTACACATAGCTGATAATGGCTAAACCATTACTATGAATGATGCTATACAAAAAAGAATGTTTGAGGGGTAAGAAGTCTCCATATTCAAGCAACAAAACTACTGTACTTTGATCAAGAGCCAGACAGTAGAGATAAGGATGTAAAATTTCACCAACAATTTTGATCAGTTTTCCTGTAGTCAGGTTTGAATGGCTGAGTTCAATCATTCCTTTTTTCCTCAAAAAACTGATACACTTAAGGTAGCAGAACTGCTGGGCAGCAGAGCACATGCTTAGCATGTACAAGGCCATGGTTCAATTCCCAACACCAAATTAAAAAAAAAAAAATTTAATTGACACTAATAGAAGAACACCTTTTATAAATAACAAGATAGGCGTGTAAGAAGCATCAATCTCAAAAAGCACAATACAAATGCTGTCATTTATTAAAATGTGTATTTATTCCATAGCCTAATTTGTTTGGGGCAGTGATCTATTAATTGTCAAAATAATCTACTCATTTTTATACTAGTCATTTCAATTCAGATTCTTCCATGAACTTGACTACTGAACCTGTCTTAAGGAACCCAAATTAAGCTTATCATAAAATAATCTAATAATAAAGTATGCAAAAATGCTTTTAATATTAATACAAGAAAACCTCATCCTCAAATTACGCAGGCTAAACTATTTTGAAGCAAAAAAAATCTCAAATATACAAAAGAATTGAAGAAAAAAACCTCCATTGCATATTATTCTCATTTTTGAGATAACCAAGATCCATTTGAGGGAAGAGTACACAAATATGGTATAGTTTTAAATTCAGGCTGGGCTGTGTTACCAAATGTCTTATAGGAGGCAGCAAGGGTTACGTAGCTGCATCAATTACAGGCTAATGCCTATGTTTTATTTGATTATATTAAAAGGATTATTGAGGGTTTAGAAATCTAATAGCACTGTGTTAATTCTCAATTGGCATATGTTTACTATTGAAAACCTTTCTAAGGATTAAAATAAGTTAAAAAAAAAAATCAACTGAACTACTGAAGAAAATTTGAAAACCAGGAGCACTGTACAATAAAGTCTGGCTAACTTGGGAGACAAAATATTTAGTTATTTAATTTGGTTTGAGGCAGAATAGTCAATCCGTTGTAAAACTAGACAGTGGTTAACTTTAATTACCAAAAAATATGTTTAGTTAGGGTATAGGTGGACACATTTATAAAGGTATCCCAGAACTGGATCAAGCTGATAAATATTACCTTTGCTATGGCAACTTCAAAAAAGCATCAATCATCTGACCTGGTATAAATAAGTTTTAAGAATTCTCTTAGGGATGGACGGGGGTGTAGCTCAGAGGTAGAGTGTATGCTCAGTATGCACAAGGCCCTGGACTTAGTCCTTAGTACCAAGGACTAAGTAAAAAGGAAAAAAAAAAATCTTACCAGAATTATCCTTTGAAAGAAAAGTAGGTAAGATACTGAATGATGATCAATATACACTTAAGAAACTCCATGCTATAAGAAAATTGCATGTTTGTTTGAGAATAAACAAGATCTTGGTCTCATTATTAAAACAAAAAGAAAATCCAGCCAAATTCTGTAGTTGAAAATAAAGTACGAGCAACAATAGCTCTTCATTTGTGTAATTAACAGGTACTCTTACAGTTTAAGTTATTTTTCTTTTTTGTGGTGCTGGGCATCGAACCCAGGGCCTCACACATGCTAAGCAAGCACTCTACCACTGAGCAACATCCCTAGCCCCACCACTTTAACTTTTTAATTTATGAAAGACACCACTAAATTTCAGACAAAAAATATATATATTTTAAAAATCTTTACAATAAATCAAGATGTAGGAGCTTACATAGAGCACATTTAGTTTATTTAGGTACCCAATTCTAGCTCCCTTGGATGCAAATAACCCTGGTAACAGTGTGTACATAGTCTTCTCTTTGCTTCTTATAATTTTAAAGCAAATAATACATTTGACTGTATTCAAGTCTGTGCAAATAATCCTTCAGAAGAAATATCCAAGATTCTGTTTGCAGAGGTCATTTTGTCTATCAAAAATGATTCAATGACTTTGTTTGTCTCCAGATAAAGTGCTCCTGTCCAGCAGAACTCGAAGACCTTCAAGGGTTCAAGAAGTTTAGTTCAGATAAGACCCTGTCATACAAATTCCAGCTTCCCATGACCACTGTACATGCCCCAGTGAACGAGGGAGAGGATTTTATCGTTGCTGAGGTCTGCTTGTCTCATTTTATCACAGGTCAGACAGCAGTTCTCGTGCCCGCTGACAGGCACCATGCATTCCAAGTCTAACTTTGCAACCTGGCCCTTTTTGGAATGGTGTCCATGAAAGCTGTAGTGCAAACGAGAGAGCATCTGCTGCCGCTGATCCTGCAGTCTCTTGTTCTCACTTCGGAGCATCCTTAAGGCCAACATAATCAGCAACACTAAGATCAGCCCACCAGCAATGGGAACTGCGATCACTGCTGCCCGAAACCACAATTCTTTGGAGGAGGTCAGCTCCTGCACCTTGGTGATGAGGTTTCTGCTACCATCATGCTGATATCTGTTTCCTTGTCCTAAAGGAGTACAAATAAAATGATCAGACTGTGGAATAACTCCTCTTAGAGATATCCACTTTATAAACAAGGAATCCCATTAAAAAGTAGCTTACAATTATTTCAACAGTTTTTTAGAAATAAATATCGCAAAACTATCCAAAGAAGCTTGGCTGTCATCACTGAAATGTAATGGTCTTTTGATGTCTTCAAAATGTTTAAAAACAGGCAAAACCTATTATATAGACAGACATATAATGCTCAGGCAGACCAAAGCCACTCATCTTTGCATGCAGCCATGCTTCTCCCTCTGGTATCTCTAATTACATTAACAACAAAATCAATAGCAGACACACAAAGTCGTGGCTGCCACACGGTCTATAGATCAGGCACAGGTCTATAGATCAGGCAGGCACCTGGGTTAGGAACGGCTTCTACCTACCTGAGGATTCACCCTTGGGAGGAGAGAGAACATCGTGCAGCCCTCTGTAATTGCACATGTCTTCATGACAACATTCCAATGTGGGCATGGTGGTGCCAGAGTGGTTTTGGGCCTGTTTGGCTTGGCAGATGTCTGCTGTGCTTGCAAGAGAGTCCAGGCAGCCATGGGTGAGTGGGGAATTTGTGTTCTGAGGATCCAGAAGTCTAGAGAAGCAGGCGCTAAGCTCAGATTTACACATATAACCAGTTGCCACACAGTGGGCAGCATCACAGTAGCATCGAATTTCTCCTGAAAACAATGAGAAACCAGTCAAACTTCAATTCAGGGAATAGATAAAGCAACTATGCAAGCAATTGCTGAATACCAAGTTCAAGGACACTAATTTTAGATCATTCAAATTGATTGCTTTCAATAGCAGTTCACGTCCTCACTGGGACTGGAAACACCTTTAAGCATAAGTGCTTAAATGTCAATTAGTTACAATTTTAGGAATGTATTAATCCTAGCAGCAGATTTCTGATGAGTTAGAGTAATTAAAACTACTTTTGTTTCTGAAGGAAAAGTCATCATTATATTTTTTTCTACCATAAGGTAAATCACATTAATTATACTCCTAACACAATCATACATGATAAAAACGCTAAGCTTTGAGTTTTGTCAGTATAAATATTTGATTGGAGGAACTACTGAATTGTTTACTATCCCAAAGGACTGTGCCAAGATTTAAGAGCTGGAGCTAACACCTTATAAAGTTATTAACTAGAAACACAACAATCTAGAAATTGCCCAGGTCAGGAGGTTTTAAAACTATGAAACTGGGCAGCTATTTGCAACCTCTCTAGAAAAGGCAAACTTTGCCTATAAAGATCTTTTCATGCCGAGGAGCTTTTAGTCAGTATATTGTAAAACAGGAACTAGGCAGTTTACAATTAGTGGTTTGCTTGCCAAAGTCAATTTCTTTCAGCCCAAATGGAAAGTCATAAAAGGGGTGGGGGTGGGGGGACATAAAACTGCAAAGGCTGACTTCTCCTCCTCCTCAGTTTTACATGTAATTTAACATGTGATCTAAAAGGGGAAACACTGAAACTGAAAATCCTCTGCTGGTTGAATGAAAAATCCTAAGGAAACCTCAAATTTTTCTACAGGAAGTGATTAAAAGTTTCCTTTATAAAACTTATTTTGTGAGTTGCAAGGCTCTGTTAACATTTGGTAACAATGCAAGATTTGAGGTTTGAATGTGGATGTCTAGCTGAAATACTCTGGGTCTGAAATTGTCACTATGATACTCAACCTGGTGGACTCTGGTCATTGTTAACAGGCCACAGTGAAGGCTAAACTGAACTAATGCACACACCTCTTCCCAGTTTCCCAATCAGAAGATTTGTTTAGTTACTGAAACCTTCACTCTGGAATTAAATGCTGGGGGCTGCAGGTTTTTCTTCTTCCTCCTCCTTTTTCTGTGAATGCCTGAGTAAGGTGTCTCATATAATTATCTGCCCAAATTCCAGGCCACCACATGGTGTGCTCAGTTTTCACTAGAGGCTGCTAATGCTTCAGCTCAAAGAAAAAACATCCAACTAAACACAGATCTTTGGCAACCTACTAACAGCACAAAACTGGGGTCTTGCTCCTAACTCTGCACTAGCCATCCTGGGTTTGGGCCCAAGTCTCCTTCTCCAGTCTCCTTTGCTTCAAGTAAGGACCTTGCTCTGCAACAGTCCTTTTCTGCTCTTTCCGGAATTGCTTTATTCTTCACGTAAAGCTCAACCAGTCTAAGGTGGTGATGACTAGATTGATAAATTTCCCTAGATTGATAAATTTCACATAAAAATTTGAAGTATAAATAAGACGGATGTTATGTTCATTTTGAGCCTGTCAGGCTCAGACCTGGTGCAGAATAGGAAAACTGAATACAAGTAAAATATTGCTTCAATGTTTATGAGAGTCTATTTAAAATACTGTATTTTCAATGACCTAAAACTGTCTAATAAAAAATTGACAGGTAACTGGGAAAGTTCTAAGACATTAACAAAACAAAACCAAAAAAAAAAAGAGCCACATTTTGGCGAAGAGAATGGACTTTTGTACTACTGTATTAAAACTATATTTCTGTCGTTTCATAAAGTTTCTTCCTGTGGCATGTAAAAGGCCAGGAGGGGACTGGTATTTTGAAACAGTGAACAATGCTCTTCTGTTTCCCCTTTTCTAGTTACTGTATGTAGTGATTAAACAAAAATGTCTGCTTTAGTCAAGATGGCTACAGGAGAGACTGCTGGCTTCTTTTAAAGCTTTTGAAGTCCACAGCAGTCAGAAATCTCTGATCCCCTAATTATATCATTATCAGGCGCATAGTTTCGGTATCTGTGACTTCATGTCAGCCTCAGTCCCTCCCTGTTCTGCCGGCCTTTGATAGGGCCAGGAGGCTCCCCTCTGCAAGCTGCAGAGGGCTGTTATTTAGGGTTAATTACACCCTTCCTTCCAAAATAAATAAATACTGTAGCACATCATCCTTGCTGGGCCAGCTTATCCTTTAACCTCATGCCTGCTACATGGCAATTAAGGAAAAATGGGGGGTGCAAAGGCTAAATAATGCTTCCTATTAAAAAAAAAAAAAATCTGTTCATAGAACAGTAGTTAAAGTCCATGGCAGGGAGGTAAGAACCTTGAAATCTAGAAAGGTCGTTTGGAACTAAAAGATGAAAGCCTGCAGGGCTAAGAAGTTGCTGTCTTTTCAAAATAGTGTTTGCAAAATAGAAGGTGAGTGGGAAATGGGACCGCTGACAGCATCTACTCCTCTCCGGCACTAAGGAGCAACGCAACACACCTTCTCTCGCTCATCAAGACACACACCCCACCTACACTCTCAGGGAGATCCACACACGCTGGATCCCAAAGACACAGAAACTTAGGTACTCAGAAAAACCAACCCGCTCGCACTCAAAGACAGAGACATCAAGAGACAGGCAGATGCACACATTCAGAAACAAAGACACACAGATGCACTCAGACACAGAGATACACTCAGCGACACGGGGACATTAAGAGACACCCGGACACATTCAGAAACACGCAAAGCCACACGGTCGCTCTTAGAACGCAAAGACACATTTAGAGACAAGGACAGAGACGCACAGAGACTCAGAGACAGACACTGAGAAACACAGGCATGGTGCAGCTAGGGCTAGGGTCTGCTTTTCCTTGGGTCAGTCCCGCGCTGCGCGGGGCAACGAGGGCGGCGGCGAGCAGCAGATCCTCCCGCCCCCGTCCCCTGCGGCCGCCAGCGTCCAGGAGTTCACCGACAAGCTTCGCAACACCTGACCAGCTCGCGGAGAGGCCTGACTGCACCTCAGGGCGTCGGACCCGGGGTCGAGGGGGCGGCCGCGAGGCCACCGCCACAACTTCTAAGAACACAGCAACTTGTCGCGACCTGCGGCTCGGCGCGGGAGGGAACTCGCCCGCCGCTAACAAAGCCTTGGCAGCCGGCTTCAAAGCCCCGCGGCTGCAGCCCGGCAGCCCGGTCCCCAGCTCCCGCGCGTCCGCAGGGCCCCTCCCCAGGATCCGCGCGCCAGACCACGGCCGCCCGGCGGGCACACACCTTTGGTGAGCAGCACCGCCATGGCGCAGAGTTCGAGCTGCAGCCAGATGAAGATGTAGCTGGAGTGGCGATCCATTGACGTCTCCCTCGGCCGCGGCGCCCCCGCCGCTCCCGGAGCCGCGGCGCAGCAGCAGCCTACGACCCCCGGAACGAGCAGTGCATGGGTCCTCCCCGCGCGCCAGACGCCGTCAGTGGCTGGGCCAGGGTCCGGATGGCGGCGGCAGCATGGATCGTGGCTGCAGGACGCGCCGAGAAGTCGAGAAAAGTTTTGCGCTGTGACTCGGTGCCCGTCACTCTTACGCCCCAGTCTGCTCGGCGGACGCACTTTCACTGATGGCGCCGCTGCAGTCCAGCGTGGTCTTCCCGGCTTCGTGCCCCCTTGACCCGCTGCTCCGTGAAGAAGGTGGGAGCTCCGAAATAGCCCACGGAGGGGACCAGCAGAGAGCTCCCGCCACACCGGCCGGGCCAGCCAGGCTCCGCACCGTAAATAGCGCCCGGCTCGGGGAGCCGGCCTGGCGCCGCCCCGCCCCAAGCCCCGCCCCGGCAGCGACGGCGCCGTCCGATTGGCCGCTGGAGTCTGGTGGATCCCTCCGGCAGCCGAGAGGGTGGACCAGACGCGGGCGAGGGGGGACCTGCCCTAAGGCTCCTAGCGGCGCCGGTGTCTGGGGCTGAGGGTCCGGCAGTCGCCGTCTCTCGCGCGCCCCCTGGCGGAGGCCTGAGCGTGTGTGACCTTGGCCAGCGCTGGGTGAGCCCAGCTACTGGGTCCGCCTGTCTTTAGCCTCCGGGATCCTTACAACTCAGCCTCGGGGCAGCGTGCCCCAACACGTGGTTTCTCTTTTGTTCCAACCGAAAAAAGTAAGGGACCCACGTGGCCACCCTCGGACTAACTCCCCCTACCCCCATCCCCATCCTGGGCCATGCTGTGTGTCTCCGGAGCTCCAGGGACAAGTGGCGATGCCCGGGCGTGGCAGACTTGCCACGGACTAGGAGCCCCTGCGGAGTCCCGCCCTCTCGCGTGCGGCCGAGCGGGAGTCCGGTGGGGAGCATGGAAGCAGGCGGCGGGGTGCTGGGGTCTGCTTTCAACCTCCCCCCGCCCTCCCCCTCTGCACATCCGCCTCCAGTCGCCCGCCCTGTGTGATCAATAAAGCCCAGACAGACAGACTGTTGATCAGTTGGAGCCGCTAGGTTCTCCCTGGTAGACTGGGGACGAGGAGCCGGCTAAAGACACTTAACGAAAATTAGCAAATCCAAAAGCAACCGGCGCCAGCGAGACGACACTGGCCGAGACTGACACTCAATTAACCACCCCCCAAACAATCGCAGGCAAACACACCGGCTGACCCTGATCAATATCAGCTCCACAGTGATCTCCTTCCTGGGATACTAATTCATTTTATTTGGGCTCACTGGGCCGCCGACCCCAAGGTATCCAAGGCGGTCTGGGGCCTTTTGCTGTTGCTTATTTATTTAGAAGAGAAATTAAACTTAAAACTCTTATTATTAGAGGAAATGCTCTTTTCTCTTCTCCCCTTAAAATCTGAGATTAACAAAAGTCAACCATTTACAAAATCCCCTTTTAAGGTCACCCACCGTTTTCTTACCTGATATGTGTAAAGGGAGGGAAAAACAGAAAGAGAAGCCCATTTCATTTAGGAGGAGAGTGGAGAATTGAACCTGAGTAAAAAGGGCTGGGGGCGTAGCTCAGTGATAGAGTGCTTGCCTAGCATGTGTGAAGCCCTGGATTCCATTCCCCACCACCAAACACAAAACAAAACAAACAGAAAACCCTAAGGGAAAAAATGAGGACTGAAAATTAAGGCAAATATATAAGAAACGCCTAACCTTGTAGTTTAAAGTTATTGAAAGTCTACAGAGCTGCAGGATGAAATTGCCTTTGAAAAATAATATTCATATGCAGAAAAATAAAAGTTTAATAAATTGATGCCCTCACCACTACTTTGCTAGATTAAAATCGCATCTAAAAGGAGGGAAGGACAAGCCCAGCAGAAGTTTTAAAAGGAGAATAAACTGATCAGGACATCAGGTCTTTCTCAAGGGCCAGCTGACAGCCAGAGGAAGAAAGGGTTTGATCAAAACTTCCTAATACTGTTAGAACTTTCTCAAGTTAACATTTCTAAGGGCTTTGGGCGGACCATACATTTCAGGTTATGACACTCCTTTAACTTTATTATTATTATTTGCTGTGTTGGGTATTAAAGCCAGGGCCTGGGCTTGCTAGGCAAGTACTCTATCACTTGAGCTACAGATGCAGCCCCTCTTTGAAGTTTACAGGGTAAATTATTAGCTAAAAGGAAATTATTTTAGAGTGTATTTGTTCGACTATATGAGAGCTCTCACCAGTAGTCCAGGCTCACATGCCTGAGATTATAAAGATGTCAAGAACTAGAGAGTAAATCACAAACTCTGGAGATACAGAATTCTGTGTATGACATTATGATGCATGAAAGAAAGAAGAGACTAGCGTAGGATGGTCTCCTGGAAGCAATGACATATAGAGAATGGCTCCTAAGTAGTAAAGAAGATTGGAAGAGGACCATTACAAGCACAGAAGACCACAGGAATTTAGGCATGAAATGAGTTGATTGTGGGGGTGGATAGGGTGGTAAATAGAGGATGGGAGGTGGAATTACAGGCAATTCTTTGTGGCTGGAGCATAAAATATGAAGCAAATTGGACAGATGTACCAGGAACTAACCATATTTACTTTTGAGATAGATAAATACTTGTTTCATGGAAGAAGGTCTAGGAGAATACGTTAGTAAAAGTCATATTGTAGTAGGTATTTTCTGATGTCTTTTCATCCCAGTTCAGGGAATGTCTCATTTCACTGGAATGGACACTGGCAGCCAGACTGGGAGACTCTGCCCTCTGGCCAGAAATAGTCACATGATCCAAGCTGAGACAATTAGATTCTCTCTTTGGACAGAGATGCTGGTCAATTTCTAGAAGTCATTTCATGGGAGACATTCTTTGCTTGTCTGTAAAGGAAGAGAAAAATGATGAAGATGGGTAGAGAGGCAAAGATTTAAATCTAAATGGATTTTCAGTCACTTGGCTTCCTTTCTTATCCATAGGTTTCACATTAAGGTTAACTCAGTTACTTTAATTAGTTCCCATTTGTATTTAAGTTTCTTTTACTTGCAACCCAAAGAGCCCAAACTAAGACACTTAGATTTTATTGAATTACTATTTGCTTTTATCATTCCAGGTTATATTACTTTGTTTTGTTCTGAATACAGTTGAGAGTAAGAAATTCTTCAGACAATGATTTCAACTCTTCTGTTTTTTTTTATTATTAATGGGAAAACTTTTTAAATGACTAGAAATTAGTTTTAAGAGAAATAAGCCTGAACTTTAAATGGTTTTAGAGCAGACATGGACTTTTCAACTAAGTGAATGAATATTTGAATCAATGTGGAAAATCAAAATTGGTTTAGGGATACTATGTCAATTATGAGGCCATATCAGTATCCAACAGAATAGGCAACAATTTTAATTCAATTTAAGACTCTTAAGGAAAACTGCTTCTCTGTAGAATTTTACTTGTGTTCTGTACATAATTCAGTTATTACTTTCCTACATGTAGTTTGAAAATTAGAGGGTAAAAAAAAAAAAAACAGTAAAATCTAGTGTCCTTTTGAAGTTTAAATCAAGAAAAAAAAATCAATGACCAAGCTCCTTTTTATTATTATTAAAGGGAATTCTGAAAATACAACTAGGGAACAAGCTTTCTATACCCAAGAATGAAAAAGAGATTCTAGACAAAACTGGAATAATTAAACATTATAAGAGTTTTGTTTTATTACACATCAGATAGTGTTCCAAATATGATTTATCCAGGGATATATGCACCAGATAATTTTGATGCTCCATTATGATATATTCTATAGTCATTCTATACCATCAAACTAATTTTGTTATCAAAACCATAAATATTCTACCAATTTCTGCTTACCCACATAATACCATTGTTTCCCAAAGTTATATGTGATCCCCATTTTAAATAATGCCTCTCTCCCCACAATGCCAGTGAAAAGTAGTTCTTGGTATATTTTATCTGAGAGGAAGCAGTTGTGTTTGAGTTCCTGGCTGGCGTACAAGCAACTACTGCAGTCTAGTGACAGAATCTGACATTTCTCCCTATTATACAAATCTTCTACCAGCTAACCATTCACAGAGATTGAGTAATGCTTTAATTCCTAGTAGCTGGTTTTAAAAACTAGTTATTTTTTCTCAAGAGAAGTTAGGAGTTCAGCTAAAATTTACTTCCATTGGAATAAAGGTCAAAGATGAGAGATTAGCCCAGCCCAATGGATTGGCTCTGTAGTTGGGGTTTTGTGTTTGTTTTTTCGTTTTTCTTTCTTTCTTTTTTTTTTTTTTCTCTCCAAAATGGAAAAGGAGATAAAGGACTGACTGTAAAGGGAGTATGATAAGACCTGGAAGAAAAGGAGAAGATTGAAACTCAACAATCCAAACTGCCTGTCTTCCCACAGGCTAGCAAAAATGCCATGAAGTCTTCCAAATGAACTGTAGAAGAGCTGCTGAGTTCATCCATGCTGGGGATTGAACCCAGGGCCTTACACATGAGAGGCAAGCACTTAACTACTGAACTATATCCCACACCTGAGTTTTTTTGTTGTTGTTGTTTTGTTTTTAAGGATACTAAAATCTTCCTTAGTTAAAGATGATTACTTTGGGAACCTGGAAATGGCCATTATTCATAATCAACCAGTCTCAATGTACATTCATTGATGTCTGCAAATGCTTTTTCCTCTACTAGGTTATAGTCATGTAACCCCCAATTAGGCCAGTAGAACTTTTTAAAAATTATTCAATGTTTTGCTAATTTGGCCTACCCAACATCAAATAATGAGTTTAATTATTTTTTTCTTTAACTAAAATGAAAAATTGATTCTTTTATGTCAAATAATGAGTTTGATTCCTTTTTTAAAAAAAAAAATCTAAAGTGATAAATTAATTCTTTAAAGCTCACAAATTACCTTAAACCATTTCCTTCTTAATGGAACATCACTGACCCAGACTGCAATGAACAGTATTTTTTTTTTTAGTTCCATTGTCTTAGCTTATAACATTTTGTGTATGTTTTTTAGGATGAAAAAAAATTATGGTCAAACCATTAAAATCCAGAAGTTTCATTAGAGAGCTAAGCATTTAGGCCCTTGCTTGAAATTGGGATGAAATCTTGCAACTTTTTCTACAGTCCTCTCTTCTGCTGCTGCTCACTTCTCTGTTTAGTGGTCTGATAATGATTTTTCCTACCATAAAACCATTCTCTTCTAATCCTGGATCTTCCAGACTGAAATTTCATTGATGTGACAGAATGAGGTCTTTTGCAGTTGGAACTTTGAAATTACTTCCATTTTACTTTTTTGCAGTGGAACTTTGAAATTACTTCCATTGTTTCTATGTCATACTATTTTGAGATAAAATTTTTAAATTGACAGATAAAACTGTAT